CTTTGGACTCTAGGCACCACTTGAAGTTGGTAGCAGGGTTTAAGGGTTAGGGGTTAGGTTTCGGGTTCAGGGTTTTGGAATTCCATCCTGGGCCCCAGACCTCGCATAAACTGAGCCTAAGGCTCCATGTACCCTTATAGTAGAAACTTAGGCCTTAAAGTACCTACATAGGGACACCTTTAAGGCATAAGTATCAACCATAAAGGTACATGGAGCCTTTGGGTGAAGTCCCGGCTCCAGTGCAGGGCCTGGAACGGATGATCACTGCTGTCAATCCCGATTGGCCGACTCGGAAAGCCGAAAAGGACTTGAGCCAAGTAGGCTTTTGTTTTCCCAAAGGGTCCAAAGTACCTTCATAGTAGAATGTAGGGTTTCTATATACTATTATATTAGGAACTACTAATAATATAAATAATAATATTAAAAAGTAGTAAGAAGAGAAATATTATGATTTGGGGAAGTATCCCCCATAACAGTACCTTGGGAGCCTTTGGGTTTTGAGGGCCTCTTGGGTCTGCATGAGGGGCTTATGTGGTTTTAGGATAAGAACTCCTGGACTCCTTAAAACCCGAAACCCTAAACCGACGGTTTAGGGTTTAGGGTTTAGGGTTTAGGGGTTTAGGGGTTTAGGGGTTTAGGGGTTTAGGGTTTAGGGGTTTAGGGGTTAGGGGTTTAGGGGTTTAGGGGTTTAGGGTTTAGGGTTTAGGGTTTAGGGTTTAGGGGTTTAGGGTTTAGGGGTTTAGGGGTTTAGGGGTTTAGGGTTTAGGGTAGATGGGCGAAGGCGAATCAATCTTATGCAAGCGGAGCTAGAGCTTGTCCACAGCAGCACACTTCTGCCGCCGATCACGGAAGCCGTCGCCCAAATAAATGAAGACCCGAAACCCAAAGCCCTGAACCCTAAATCCCTTCCCCCAAATCCTGAACCCTAAGCCCTAAACCCTAAATCCCTACCCCAAAACCCTGAACCCTGAACTCTGAACTCTAAACCCCTTGCAACCCCCAAGCCCTCTTCAGGTCCCGACGGAATCTCGCACATCCCAGGAGGCGTCGAAGGCCGCAAGCTCAAAGATGTGATCAACCACGCCCTGTCAACCCAAGGGTCTCAGGGGGGGTTCTAGTGGGCTAGGGGTTTATCCAAAAATAAAAGGAGGGACCCTTGATAAGGACCGCTAGGTATATACCCTGAATATAGCTATTATTTAGCCCATTATAGGGTAGGGGTCCCCATTAAGGGTCCCTCCTTTCCCCCTTTGAGTTTATATAGGGATTTGTCGTTTAGGGTTTAGGCGCTTAGGGGTTTAGGGCTTACAAGGTCTAGGGCTTGAGGTTTTTGAGGCTTCTACGTGCTAGGGTTTTAGGGTTTCAGCAGGGGTTTATGGTTTTAGGTTTCGGGTTTTAGGGTTTCGGGTCATAGGGTTTAGAGTTTAGGGCGCCCAAGGGTTCCTGCACCCAGAGAGCCCAGGCCCGTCGATTAACTAAAGAATAGATTTACCATATATTATCTATAAGGTGCCTAGCCTTCTGATTTAGGATGTATGCTTTGGTCATTATTGGGTATGGGCTCCCAGCAGGTTCCTACCAGGTTGCTATGCGGTGATGATAGCTCTATTCTGTCAGGGGCTTCTTATTGCAAATTATGCTAACCTCCATATGTATGTTATCTGGGGTTGTTGCGGGTCTTTACACTCTAAACCCTAAACCCTCGCTGGAAGCCCCGCGAATAAGGAGGCCCAATGGTTGGGTTTCGGGTGGATGGCTGACGATTGAAACTTTTGAGACATTGAAGGGATCGATGTTTCCTAAGGGTCCACGTACGCATATACTTAGAAGTTTAGTACATTGGCCCCAAAGCACTTACAGGGACTACTTCAGGCCAAGGTGTATACTACCTGGGTACATGGGACCCTTAAGGTTTGAGGCTTCGCAGCTCCACCCTCCTCACGCGAGGAAGCCCACAACAATCCAACACTCCAACCCAAAACTTCAACCGCAGAGCCTCAATTTCTTCAAAGAAGCCATACCCCTCACACTAGGCGTAATCAGCACTCAAATTATGGAGGGGTCTTGAATCCTTGCGTAGATATGAAATAGATGAATGGTAGCGGGCCTGAAAGATCCAGGCCTGAACGAAAACACGCCCTCATAGATACAGAGCCTTTGTACGCACTCGGCTTTGATTTCGAAGGCCCCTATATTCCAACAACACACTTCCTACAACACCCTATACAGTCGAAGCCCCAAAACTAAGCCCGAAACCCTCAACCCCTAAACCCCAAAACCCTAACCCCTACACCCTAAAACCCTACACCCCAAACCCATAAAATCCGAAACCCTGCGCCTCTAAACCCAAAAACCCTAAGGCTCCATGTACCCTTATAGTATAGACTTAGGCCTTAAAGTACCTACATAGGGACACCTTTAAGGCTTAAGTATCTACTATAAAGGTACATGGAGCCTTTGGGAAACAGCACAAACCAGAAGCGGTCCGTAAATCCTGGCCTCCAGCCTCGGAAGCAGCTTTGCCGAGTCATCCTTGGCATCAGGGCTTTGGGTGTAGGGGTTTGGGGTTTAGGGTATACCTTAACCTACCAAACCCCTGCTTTTTTGTAGGTTCTTATTGTGAACCCTAATATGAAGTTTATAGGGACCCTACAAAAAAGTTGGGTTTGGTAGGTTAAGGTAGGGTTTAAGGTAGGATTTAGGATTTAGGTGTTTAGGGCCTTAGGTTTTTGAGTTTTGAGGTTTAGAGTTCAGGAATTTGGTTCTGGATTTGGTTTAGGGTCCAGGGTTTAGGGTTTAATACTTATTCCCCAAGCAGCCAGGGAAACACGACAGGTTGAACTTTCAGGTTACTACTAAACTATACGAACCCTAAATTGTCAAAAGTTGTTTGGCGCCGCCCACCCACGTAGGTGGGCGGGCGCCCCCATGCCTCGGGTGTAGGGTTTATCGTATCCTTAACCCTGAAGAACCTACCATTTAGGGCTCCCTATTATGATTTCTCTATACAAGTCCTTAAAAAGGTAGGTTCCTCAGGGTTAAGGATGAGTTTAGGGTGTAAACCAAAGAGTTTCTGCTTCAGGGTGGGCTTCGTCGGCTGCTTCAGTTTTGAAGCAAAAAAAAAGAAGAAACGGTAGTTTACCGCTAATGGACCAGGCGCTGACCTTAAAAACCTGAGACTATGGAAAGTATGGTCTAGTCGTTGCTGATGATGCCGGATTCTGTCAGTCAGCAACAGTCTGTGGCAGATCTTACGCAGGCGCACCCGATGCTTGAAGATGTAACGCCAGGTGTAACAGCTGCGGTCTTTTGGAAGCCGTGCATTGCCCTCGTTTCAAGTGTATATGCGATCAGAAAGCACTCGGAACTAGGCTGGTTTCCTCGGCCCATTGTCAGTCAAGCAACCTCAGATTCTGCATCAAATGCCCTATTGCGAAAATGTAGTGAACGCCAGGAAGTTGAAGAGCGAGATAAAGATGAAACGTGCTTAGATTTCCATTGCTGCACCCTGAGGGTATGAAGATGACGGTGTTGTAACTTTATGGCTGATACAATCAGTTGCAGTATGTAGACCAACCCTCTTCCGCGCGAAGACGGAATCGGTAATCGATGGTGCTGCAACAAGAGGTGGTGTTGCAAGCCCAAGAACTTGCAACAACGTAATATAGTGGCCTGAATAACTACCAATACTATTTTGGCGGTCCCGTCTCATATTTCTTGTATAATGGGCCCCAAGACCCTGTTCAGATTAGTTGGCCCCGTACACTGAATCCCAAAGCCCTTCTAAATGAATTTGTCTGCCAAGAGTCTTGGCCCATCGGTGGAATCGGCTGGGCACCCTTCGAGCCTTCCCGACAGACTTGGGCACAAGCCTTACTTGGAGGGGCAGGGGACTTAGTAAGTAGGTTATAGGTAGGGATATCATTGGGGTAACTCCATTCATAGGGTACTTTATACTTCCTTCCAAGTATCAACTCGCTTTATTGAGCACTCTCCTGACAAGAAAAACACTGTTGCAACACGCCCTCGAAATGATCACAGCCTTTTGAAACCTAGCTGTATTGGGAGAAGATCAGGTGCAAGAGCAAGAGCAGGAGTATGAGCAGGAGCAGGGGAAGGAGCAAGAGCTGGAGCAAGAGCAAGAGTAGGAGCAAGAGCAACAGCAAGAGTAGGAGCAAGAGCAAGAGCAGCAGCAAGAGCAAGTGACGCAGCAGGAGCAAAAGCCGGAGAAGGAGCAAGAGCAAGATCGCCAAAAGGTGACAGCGCAGACGCAAACCACAATCATGTAAACACGCGTGTTGAGCTTCTATTGGGCTTTGCGGGGCCCCGTTTAGGCAGGGGGAAGGAATTTGGATCCGGTTCATAAGAGCGTGTGGCACATCGCTTGAGAATGAACTCCCTCGCACATAGAATGACAGGCGTGGCTTTAGTTACAAGACGCAGGGAGACACAGAGAGGGAGACAGCGAGAGAGAGAGAGAGAGAGAGCCAGCCAAAGAGACACCCTAAACCCTAAACCCCTAAACCTAAAACCCTAAACCCCTAAACCCTAAACCCTAAAACCCTGAGAATCCGATCCAAAGAATCGATCTGCAGAGAGGAATAGAATTTTTACGAAGGCACATAGAAAGAGAGGGGGGAAACGCAGCAAGGGAACTCTGAGCCGCCCGAAATCCCTGTCCTGAACTCTTACCTACTATTTGCTTAAGAACCCCCCAAAAAATAAAAAATATATTCCTTATGGGGGTAATATAGGGATTATTATTTTAATTTTTGGGGGGTTCTAATTAAGCAAATAGTAGTTACCCTTCGGCTCTAAGGACTCATATTTTAAGGCTTTTGGGCCCAAAGACCAGACTAAACAAGGCTTTCCCCACCCTAAACCCTAAACCCAAAAGCCCTAAACCCTAAACCCAAAAGCCCTAAACCTGCTGGTATCCAGCAGGAAGATCATGAAAAGGATCGCCATTGTTTGCCCTTTCGGGCTGCACTTCGGAAGACATGCCTATTGAAACCGAAGTGCAGCCCGAAAGGGCAAACAATGGCGATCCTTTTCATGATCTTCCTGCTGGATACCAGCAGGTGATGAGCCCAAGTGGGCGTGCTGCGCAGGTGGTTGATCCGAATCATGATGACGTCAGGCCAAACGGTGTGGCCAGAAGGACCCCTGCAGATGACGCAGCCTACTCACAGGCCCTTGCGGCAACCGGAACGGGAGCACCCAATGCTCAATCTGCAGCTACAGTGGATGGCAGTGGTGCTACGGCCTTGGGGCCAACCGGAACGGCTGGGCAGGGTTTGGATGGTGCTAGCAGCGGACATGTCCAGAATGATGATGGTGCCCAGTCGGGAAGAAGAATGTCAAGGATCGGGCATGAGGTTTTTTCATCGCCGGTGGTGTCGCGCTCAACAGGACAGGACCCGGCTTTATTTCCGCATTCTCAGCCGGCAGCATCGCATACAGTGGTAAGAGCGGTTAATCCAGAGTTACTCCTGCCTTCGCCGATGCCTTCTCCAACTGCTCAGGCTGTGGCGACAACGGACACCTCGCTAGGCTACAACCTGGCGCAGCAAGGCGCTGCGGCGATGAGATGGGTCACCAAGCTTAGTGAGTTCGTGCAAAGGAGAGCATCCTATGTTACCCAGGGGCGTGCGGAAGAGCAAGAGCAGACTACAGTGGTTCATGAAACAATGTGGTCACCTACCTCTAGGGCAGCAATGAGTGGAGAAGATCAACCTTTGTTCAGTCGCTCGCAAGCTAGGCGCCTACATGATATGGCAGCGGCAGCACCTCAGCTGTACGGATCAGTCCTTCATCGAAGTGGCGGTTCGGAATCGTCAGCTTCGTATACCAAAGATCAACTTGAGGCTGAGGTCCGACGGCAGGTGGAGCAGGCTATGGAGAAACAACGTGGAGTTTCTGATGAGAACAGGGCGTTGAAGGCAGAGCTAGAGAAACTGAGGCGGGAAGCTACTATGAGACAGAGTTTGACTACGGCAAGTAGTGTACGTGATCCACTTGCACAGCATGGGGATGATGCTGGGTCTCGAGGGCACGATCAGGCGCGCGTCGAAGGCAATCCAGCAGGACTTTCCGGACATGATTGTGAGCAAGGGGGTCGTGAGTTTAGGATACGTGCACGTGACCAAGTACCAGGAGGAAACCTTGAAGGACTCCAAGGCCGTGTCGCAGAGGGGCCAGATGGTGCGCCGCTCGAGGCAAGGACCGGCGAAGTGAGAAATTCTTCGGGGCCTCTGGATCAGGTCTATGCGCAGCGAGTAGTTGAGGGTGATGTTCGCGGTTCAGTACCTGAAGGTAATCTTGGGGGACTTCGAGGACATGATGGTGCCCGAGGGCGTGAAGGTCGCTTGGAGCATCATGGAGGGCGTCGGGGCAATCCACCAGGACTTTCGGGACATGAGCGTGGGCAAGGGAGCGTTCTGGGTTCGAGGAGTCAGAGCCCTCCGAGGAGCAGCGTGATAGACCTCATGGGGCGCTACGGAAATTCCGAGGGTGGGGTGATCGAGGGTCCTCCCGGTCTTCTTCGAGGATCGCATCCACACCAAGGCCCAGGAGGTGATGAAAGCAGTGGGGATCGGAATAGGAAGGTTATGTTCGGAGGCAATCCAGCAGGACTTTCGGGACATGATCGTGAGCAAGGGGGTATTTCTAATGAATATGCGTCGGGCATCTCTGGTGGTCCTTTTGTGCAGTATGCGTCGGGCATCTCTGGTGAAGGGGGAAGGCCATCAATGTCAAGTGGCGCCGAAGGAGGCGCACCCAAGCCAGGGGTGAATGAGCAGACTCAGAGTCCGATGGAGGCGCTGGCGCATGGAATTGCGCAACTGCAGACTGCTATGGCGATGCAAATGGGGATGAGCGCTTCCAGGCCGGAGGCGATCAGGCCGGGAACCTCCGCGTCGGAGTTGCCCAAGCTGGTGGAGGCGGATGAGATGGCGGCGATCAACGTGGGGGATTGGCTGCATGGTCTCAGTGGACCGATGGGGGACCTAACAGATGGAAGTGCGCAGTGGTGGTCCCAGGTGTTGTCCAGTTTGGATGCTTACTACGATGACTATATCAACGCGTCGGCTGTGAAGAAGCTCCAGATGAAGGCGGAGGACTACGCGGCCCCGATGTTGAAGGAGTCCAAGTGGCTTCGTGTGGATAAAAGGGCGGCCTCGATGCTTCTTCAGGCGATCCCCGACGCGATCCGCATGGAGGTGCTGGCGAACCGTCTTCAGACGACGCTCGCGATCTTGGCACGGATCCTGACGATCTACAGGCCGGGGTCTGCGGTGGAACGACAGCAGGTGCTGAAAGCTTTGGAGTCACCCGGCAATGCGGCAAACCCCATGGAGCTGGTTGAGTGTCTTCGGAAATGGGCTCGGTGGCTGAAGCGGGCTCAGGATCTGGGTTTGCAGGTCCCAGACCCTTCGATCTTGTTGAAGGGGTTGGACCAGTCGGCCAAGGCGCAGCTGGAGCGGCATAGCGAGGTGATGTTCCGCACCAACATGCTCCGTTCAGTGGTGAAGTACCACTCTCACCTCTTGGGGGAGTTCGAGCAGATAGCCTACAGAGGGCGTGCGCGGACCACTCCGAGCTCTACGGCGGCATTGAAGGCTGTAGGTGTGGGGGCGAGCGAGGCACCCAACGCAGGGTCTCCGAAGGGGGCGGCGTCACCCTCGTCTTCCACTACGGCTACACAGCGACCTTGCAAGTTCTATGTGTCCGAGGCAGGTTGCCAGAGACCCAATTGCAGGTTTACACATGACTGGGCAGCGATACCTCGAGAAGAACGACAGGAACGGTGCAAGGGGTGCGGAGCCAAAGGACATATGAAGCGGAACTGCCCGGTCAAGGCTGGAGGCGGAGAGCAACCTCGACGTGAGGACGGCAAAGGAGCACAACCGCGACTACGACCCATGGGAAGGGAGGCGACGCGAAACGTGATGATGGAACTGCACCAACGACCTCTACCACTACGGGAACAACCTCTACCACGCCGGGAGTTACACCGGCAACTGCGGCATCTTCGTCTTTGGGGGCGTCTATGGACTCTACTTCGTCAGCTTCGGCAACCACAGGTGGCCAGGAAACTGGAGGCGGACCGCGGGATGTTGATGAGTTCTTGAGGAACGCTACGCAGATTCTCAAGTTGATGACGGAGCAGCAGAGTGCGGCGAGACCGTCGCCGTCCATGAAGATGCTCAAGAAGGCGATTATGGAGTATGAGAGCAAGATGGCTCTGGTGGACAGTGGGGCTACTCATCCACTACGACGAGCTTCGAATGCCGAGTGGGACAGCGCGCCAGAAGTGGAGGTTGTGGTTGCGGGCGAAGATGTGAAGAAGATGGGACAGAACCGGGCAGGCACTTTGCTGTTGGACCCGGCGACGGAGAGGTCACAGACGATCCTGCCTGTGGGAAGTTTGGTGGGGGTGCTGGGCTACGAAATGATATGGTCGAAGCGGCGATGCTTCCTACGGTCGCCGGAGGGAAAGGAGCTACCGATGAAGATCACCACGGGATGCCCTGAAGTTGCGGAAACTACCGCACTGGAGCTCACTGCCAAGATTGAAGAAGAGAAGTTGCTGGAGCTGGAACGCAATGCGGAGTACACCAGGACAGCTATGATGAGGGCACAAGGGCTCCAGAGGGATCCTGTGTGGGAGAAAAGTATGAAGGCCTACGTCGCGGAGGGCAAGTTCGAAGATGGGTTTCGAGCGTTGTCGTCGTCGCCATGGGCCCACGACCATCTCAACCTTGAGCTGGCTAGGGTTGTTTCGGACCTTCCAAAGTCGGACAGCGGGGCCTGGAACCTGATGCAGCAGCTGGGCTTCAACCGAAGGATGCGGAAGCGTATGATGACTAAGGACTGGATAGTCAAACTGTGCAGCGGAAGGAAATCGCCAACGGACAAGTTGTTCAAGGTTGTGGAGAGCAATGGGACAATGGTGTTGGACAAAGACCGGCAACGGCTGTCGCAGCTGGACATTCTGAAGTCCGGGCCCAGTGTGATGATGATGCTACTATGGGGAGCGGCTACTGGACGCATTGCGGGCATCGTCGCTGGCTTACCAAAGCACAGCGCGGAGGAGCATGTGTTGCGGGCGGTGTCCTTGTATGAGGTTGCGAAGGCTGGGAGAGCGGCTATGTGTGAGGCAATGGACGTTCCTTTGGATGGTGTGGCATTTGCGTTGTGGGCTTCGGCGGAGGCTGAGGAAGATGAGTGCTCCCTAACCTGGCAGTTCAAGTGGTTTCGTCAGTGGATGGCCGAGGGTCACATGGATCTACTTCACTTTGGGCAAGGTGGCCTTGGACATCCCCTACGTCGACCCACTTCTATGGCTACCAACTTGGATGTTGTGGAGTTACGAGGAGTACAAGATCAACGGCTACATGATGAAGACTCCAAGGGGGCGTGGTCGGCATGGGCGCCGATGTGTGTTCTCGGGTGTTAGCCCGGGGCCTGAAGAGATGGAAGATGAGGCCTGGTTGGTACCCTCGACTTGTGAAGGCGCTCAAGGCTGTAGACCGCAAAGCATGGGAGCGGCACTTGATGAACGACCACCTACCTTATAGAGCAGACTGTTTGCAATGCATCCACAATGCTACTGGGCGACCTCACCGTCGATGTTTACACCGGGACTGCTATGTGATGAGTGCAGATACCTTGGGTCCAGTACGTGTTCCGGGTCCCAAAGGTGAGCGGTATGCCGTTGTGTTCACCTACCAGTTTCCCAAACAACATTTGGTGCCTGAGGATCAACCTCTACCAGAGGAAGAGCTTGATGGCTGGAACCTGGATGCAAAACCCAAGGGTGACCCTGAACTTCCTACGGAAGGTGACGCACAACCTTGGGATGAGGATGGCGGTGATGAGTTAACCTAAAGGTGAACTTGATGAACTACAACGAGAGCACCAACAACCACCAGAGGAGGACAGCGAAGAAATTGACGTGATGCCAATGGTGGAAAAGCTGACTGCCAAGGCCACCGAGTCCGGGGAAGATTGGTGGGAGTTCCGAGAGGCGGCGGGAGTACTGATAAGGCACCATGTGGCTCCCAGGACCAAGCTGTTCAGGCCTACTTCGTGGAATGCGTGCCCTCTACACCCTGCTACGCTTGACTACACGCGAGTGACGGAGGTAAAGTATGTGGGCGGCGGCGTGGAAACGGAGACATCGGATTGGCACCGAGTTCAGTCCGGAGCTCGGGCATTGGATCGTGAGTGGACGGGGCGAACTACGTTTCGAGTGTCAGCGGCGGAGATCCCGGAGGAAGAAGAGGAGATGCAAAAGGATGAGGCGGCTTGGGAAAAGCTCGTCGGCGACCTCACCAAGCCGGTGGATATGGACACGATTTACATGGTGTACCCGGTACGCTCCAGGCGAGGAGGAGACATCATGTTGGCGGTCCAGGAGGCGGTTCTCAGGTTGAAGCTGCTTGGGATGCCGGTAGCGCGACTCCACTCTGATAGGGGTTCTGAGTTTGCCTCAAAGGGATTGAGAAAGTGGCTGCTGGACAGGGACATCTACCACACCCGGTCCGAAGCTCTTGTGCCCCAGACCAACGGAGCTGCTGAACGTGGAGTACGTTGGTTCAAAACCATGGCGAAGGTGCTGATGGCGGAGGCGAAGGTGAGTTCCAAGTTCTGGACGTTGGCTATGCAGCACGCGGCCAATAGAAGGATGTATGAGCGACTGGGCTTGGAAAAACCACGGCTGCTAAAGTTCGGGTCGAAGGTGATGATAAGGCGAAAGGTGTTCGGCAACAACAAGAAGTACGACCTCACCGACCGCTGGGAAGAAGGGACCTACTTGGGTTTGTCGGACACGATCAAAGGAGGAGCAGTGGTACTGCGGCCCAGTGGGGTGATAACGGAGACCCTCAACCTGAAGTTGGACGTGGTGGATCCGCATCTACTTTTGGCAGAACCTGAGGAGGATGATGGAGCTGGGATTGGGCACATGGATGCGCGTGAAGTACCAGTTGTAGATTTACCTGACCCAGCACGACGGTTGAGAGAGAAAACAGCACCTCCTGCGCTACGTGTACTTAGCCTACGTGAACATCATGAACTACAACAAACCCGAGGACCCAGCGGATGGACTATGAGGTCCATTGTCAAGCAGCAAGAGGACAGAGCCAAGCACTTCTATGACATGGGAAAGTTTGATTTGGAGTCCTGTGCCGAAGTGCTTAGTGGAGTTCACTTGGAGCGGGCCAAACGACAAGGTCGAGGGGAGGCGTCTTCGCTAGTGCTCGGAGCTTATGTTCATGGAGGTTTACGGGGTGCTACGATATCGTCAAGGCGAAGGCCCTGGTTGACCAAATACCTCAACATGGCCCTGCGGCAGCGGACTGTGGAAACTACGGATTGCGAACCTTCGTGGACTACTTTGGGAGTGTTTCGGGCAGCGGATATACCACCCCATCGAGATCTTCGAAACCAGCCTGGGTCCAGGAACTTTGTCATGGAAGTGGGAATCAAGTCTGCAGGTGGGCTGTGGATGTCTGGAAAGGAGGACTACGATGCAAGTTTCGAGAAGCCGCACCAACGAGAACTTCCGGATGGTTCGGTGGTGGATGGTGTGGTTATGGATATTACGAAGAGGGTGGCGGTGTTTGACCCGAAGAAGACGCACTCCTACATCAATCCAGAGGATGGGGACAGATGGATCGTTGCGGGGTTCACACCACTTGGAGTTGAAATGCTACCTCCTGAACCTGTATCGTTCCTGAATAAATGTGGGTTCCCTTTGGACCAGACCGGCTTGGAGATCCATACTATCGAACCGGACATGGTGACTATGGAAGATGGATCCTACTCTGACATGGACCACGACACGGGCGAGGAGGAGGACATTGAGAAGCGAGCTCGCGTGCTGCGATGTGTTCTACAGGAGGAGCGAAAGGAGCTTGAGGAGCCTGAGGTGATGAATGGTTTCCAGGACAAGGTTGAGAACGCGTTGTGGGAATGTGAACGTGAACTTCACTGGTTTGCTGTGCGTGACATGAGAAAGATTATGAAAGTTTCCCCCGGAGAGGCCCAGGACATTGAGGTTGAAAAACTATTGGGTTCTTTGGGTGGTTCGTTGGAGGTTGTGTACAATGTGAGCTTGCCGGAAGTGAAGAAGTACCTGGACCGTTGGAAACCAGCCATACTCAAGGAGGTCCAAGCGCTGATCGATTCGGGAACAGTGCGACGACTAAGCCCTGAACAGACACGTGAGTTGAAGAAAGATGGGCTGGTGGTGTTGCCGGGCAAAGCGGTCTTCACCGCCAAGCCACCGGTGGATGCTTCGCTGGGTGGTGATAAATACCGAAGGAAATGTAGAATAGTGGTTTGCGGGAACTATTTGCCAGACCGCAACCTGAATGTGTACGCTTCTGGAACAAGTCCGGACTCGTTGAGGATTGCTATTGCCTATGCGGTCAAGATGGCTTGGTTGATTGGCAGTACGGATGTGGCAAATGCTTTTACACTGGCGCCGATGCCTGGTGGTAGACTCTATGCAGTGTCGCCTCCTACGGTGGTGGTTATGGCTCAGGGAGCAGCACCAGGGGAAACCTGGTTGATCGAAAGGGTTCTCTACGGTCTACGGGAAGCTCCACGACTTTGGGGATGCTTCCGAAATGAGCGCTTGGCAGGAGCACGCATTGAGACGGAAGAGGGCGTCCTTGTTCTTCGAAGTATGACAACAGATGAAAATATGTGGAAGATATGCTTCGAAACAGATGAAACGATGACCCCTCAAGGGCTGTTGCTGGTGTATGTGGACGATATCTTGTTTCTGTCGACCAAGGAGATTGTCTTGAAGGTGTACCAGTGGCTTATTCAGGACTGGAAGTGTTCGGCCTTGGAGTGGATGCACGAGGGCTTCATCAGGTTCCTTGGAATAGAGCTTCGAAGTTGTGAGGGCGGTGTGCATCTTTCACAGGCGGGCTATGTACGTGACCTTCTACGACAACATGGAGTATCAGAACAACCAGAGGCGGGATTAACCATCCCGTGTCAAAGGGAATGGCTTCAGGACGATTCAGAGGAGGAGCCCGAGACCGTGCCGGAGGAGTCCGTTGTGAAGTTGGCCCAGAAGGCTACTGGAGAAGCCCTGTGGTTGAGTACCAGGAGCAGACCAGAGTTGACGCACGCGGTAGCGTGCATGGCGTCATATGCCCTACGAAAGCCCTTCAAGACCCTGGAGATCAGCAAGAGGATTCTGAAGTACCTCTCCCGGACGGTAGAGTACGGCATCTGGTACAAAGTTGAACCTCAAGATCCTTTACTCGTTGTGTACTCGGACGCGAGCTACGCTCCAGGAGGAGGCAGGAGCTTTGGAAGCACAATGGCACAGGTGGCTGGAATGCCTGTTGCATGGCGGTCGGCCAAGCAACCGGTGATCACGTTGTCAGTGGCTGAGGCAGAGCTCTATGAGGGAATCTCGGCTGTGCAACTGGGCTTGGGAATAAGCGCTATTCTATCGGAGCTGGAGCCGTGTACAGTGATGCACTTGAGGATAGACAATGCTGCAGCTCAGGGCTTGGCAAGTGAAGCCCCGGGATGTTGGAAGACGCGTCACTTGAGAATCAGGGCGAGGTATCTACGTCAGGAGGTTGCGGCTCAAAGATTGGTGATTTCCCATGTGAATGGCAGCGAGCAGAAGGCAGACCTGGGAACGAAAGGCTTTGACCTCCCTAAGTTCAAGGCGCTCATGAACCTTTGGAACATCATCCCGTGCACCGCGGAGGGGGTCGCGAATGCGGCAGTGAAGACGCTTAAGATTGCCAGCGGGAAGGGTGTGTTGGTGTTTGTCATGGTGTGCTTGCTGTTGATTAAGGGAGTCCAAGGTGCTAAAGATGACCTACAGCTGGACGGGTCAATGGAATTCTATGCCATCGTGATCCTCTGTGGGTTAGCTTGCGTGGTGGTTTGGGAAGTGATCAAGAAGGCAATGAACGGGCTTTCAGCAGGTTGGAAGGCTTGGACACGGAAGCAACGGAAGGTCGAGAGGCTCCGGGAGCGCGCAGAAGCAGCAGTTCGTGATGAGTTCCGCCGTCGTGAGAAAGAGGAACCCCGTACGCCAAGGACACGGACTGCGGTAGACATTTATGGAACACCCGGAAGAGGGCCAGAGCAGACTGCATCGTCGAGTTCCGGAAGGGCACCTACGAGGACTACTATGACGGCGTGGGACCGGCACCTGGACACTATGCCCGGGGCATCGTCATCAAGAGCAAGTACGAGGACGGTGTCAACTCAGACAGAGGTGTTACACGGGTTCATCGAAGCAGATCGTCTAAGGGCCTTCGAGGGTCCATTTTGGATCACGGCCAATGGCGACCGTGTGCACACTGTTCAGGGATGTCATGGCCAGCGGAATGCGTTTCGGCCTGCGAAGTCCTACACGTTGTGCAACTACTGCGATCGGGAGAAGCCTCTCTTTGTGGTGATGCCTCCGAATCACACTTAGGAGGCAAGGAGGAGTGCAGATCGACTACCCGACGTGCAGTGTTGCTACTTGAGAGTGAAGTCGGTTTCAGTGGCTTTGTAAAGATGTGCAGGAGTCGACCGACGACGTGAAACTGTGGCTCAAGATGATAAAACAATTCGAGTGTGCTTGCGGTTGAGTGCGGTTTCAATAGGCATGTCTTCCGAAGTGCAGCCCGAAAGGGCAAACAATGGCGATCCTTTTCATGATCTTCCTGCTGGATACCAGCAAAACCCTAAACCCTAAAGCCCAAAAGCCCTAAACCTTTTGGGCTATGTTGAGCCTTAGAGCCTTAGGGTTAACCCGAAACCGGCCTGGTTCGGTCTTGGGCTCTGGGAGCGCCTGCAGAAGAACTCAAGTGTCGGGGCTTCGGGAATTTCAGAGCTTCCAATATCCCTTAATTAAGGAATATTCCTTGAATCATCTTAGGAATCCTACTATAATTTAAGGTATATTCCTTAATTAAAGGATATTGGAGTCTCTGGGAATTTCAGAGCTATGAGGCTCCTTTACTATCTGTGCTATTTTGTTCATCCACGCCGTCTCTTTGAGCTCGCTCTTGCGGCTTTCCTACCTCTCCGGGACTGGACTGTCGTATCTCGTGTTTGGGCGCCTCAGACCTCAGATCTAAGGGCTCGCGCCCGGTCAGGACAGTATGGGCTTTCTCAGGGCTTCGTGTTTTAGGGCTGCTCCCCAATCAGCCAGGAAAACAGGAGGTTGAACTTCGAGGCTACTACTATAACCTCTCCCTAAGGCTCCATGTACCTTTATAGTTGATACTTAAGCCTTAAAGGTGTCCCTATGTAGGTACTATAAAGCCTAAATATATACTATAAGGGTACATGGAGCCTTAGGGTCTGAGAACCCAAAACGCTTAAAGGTTGGGTATTACGGTAGCTGTAGCTAACCCAAAGGGTCCAAGTATCATTATGGTCTATACTTATAGGGCATTTTGGGGGTCTAAGTATATACCATAAGGATACTTGGACCCTTTGGGTAATAGCAATTCAGAGTTGTTGCTTGCGTGCGCACTGCTGTAGTGTACAAGCCCCAAAGGTCTATTTACCGATACAGTGTACACATAGAAGTCCCTTGAAGGCCAAAGTGAACATACGTAATTGAATGGTTGCACTGGCATGTTCGATTCTCGGGGAGCGCAAATGTTGCTAATGAACCATAGGAACATGGATTTGTCAAGAATGCTTTGACCCGTATCGAACCCATCACAATACAGAGGGGCAAGGCATAGCAAGCATAGCACCGAACCGAGAAGCATCGATATGGGTGGTTGTGAATATTAGGGTCCCTTTTTGGGTCCTTATTATAATACGGCACCGAATATTTAGCGTACCCAAAAGGGGTCCCTAATTCTGACAACTACCCATAGAGCCCCATCCAGGTGGATCATCTAACGCTCCAGCCCTCCTGCCCTGAACTGCAGAAATTCCTTCCAGCCCTCGAAACCCTCCAAGGGGAAAAGGAGGGACCCTTAATGGGACCCCTACCCTATAATGGGCTATATAATGGGATTTTTGCTTTTTTAAAGGGCATATACCTAGGGGTCCTTATCAAGGGTCCCTCCTTTCTACCCTTTGATCCTAGCCTCCAGCCCTTCAGCCTAAATCCCTCCAACCTTCTGTTGATGATATAAATCCTGCATTACCTTAAGGACCCTAAACTATGGGAATTATGGTATATTCCTTATTATGGGTAGTGCAGGATTTATATCATCAACCGTTTCACTCCAAATCTTCGGCCCTCATCCTCCGACCCTTCGGCCCTTCAGCCCTGCAGCCCTCCAAGCACGAAGCCAGCGCCCTCCAGCAATCAACACCCTGTCCGGGCTTACGGCTCCGACCCCTACCTATAGTCTCCATTGTAGTTCCTTTTTGGGGCTACCTTTGAGGATCCTTAATATAAAATTAGTTAAACCAAAAAAAGGAACTACAATGGAGACTATAGGTAAGCCCTAAACCCTGAACCCTCCAACCCAAAACCGTCCAAGCTTCAATCGAACGGGTCCTCGCTAAGGCGACCCTCCTGAACACCTATGCATGCACCCATAAAGTCTCAAATAACCCCTGCGACAAGGCCTTCACCTCGCCCTTGGCATTGAGGGCATGAAAAGCCCACACCTTCGACATCTTGGTAGCTTAAGGGCAGAGGGGCTTGGAGGAAGAGTTAGGACACTTACTTGGAAGGGCAGGGGGCTTAGTAAGTAGGTTATAAGTAGGGTTATAATTGGGGTAACTCCATTTAGGGTACTTAAAACTCTACTTATAACCGACTTACTAGGTCCCCTGCCCTTCCTAAACCCCATAGACCCCTTTAAGGAACCCTATAGATCCCTTTAAGGAGCCCTTCCAAGTAGGGTTTGGTCTTAGGGCTTTCGGGGTTACGTGGAGATGTTGAGAGACCCCTGTGGAAGAGTTCGAGTTCAGGGTTTTGGACCTTTAGGGCCCAGGGTTTAAGGGTTTAGGATTTAGTGGTTGAGGGTTTAGGATTTAGTGGTTGAGGGTTTAGGATTTAGGGGTTGAGGGTTTAGGATTTAGGGGTTGAGGGTTTAGGATTTAGGGGTTGAGGGTTTAGGATTTAGGGGTTGAGGGTTTAGGATTTAGGGGTTGAGGGTTTAGGATTTAGGGGTTGAGGGTTTGGGATTTAGGGGTTGAGGGCTTCGGGTTTAGGGTTGCCCAGGATTTAAGGGTTTGGGGCTTCAATTAGGGTTCCGAGTTCAGGGCTGGCTTCAGCCAATGGAGCCGAATACGGTTGCTTGGAGGGTCGGGGGACTTAGTAAGTAGGTAGTAAGTAGACTTATAAGTACCCTAAAAGGGACCCTAGTTGGGGTTATGGTACTTATCAGTCCCTAAAATAACCAATTACTAAGTCCCCCGACCCTCCAAGTGATGATATAAATCTGCATTACCCATAAGAAGGAATCTACCATAATTCCCATAGTTTAAGGACCTTAAGGTACTAATAGTAAGAAGGAATCTACCATAATTCCCATAGTTTACAGTAGAAGCCCAAAAGTTGGAAACCCCATAGCCTCAATCCTTAAGAGTAGTGTCTAGGGAATCCCAGCACTATTTGGCCTTGATCCGGTTTCCAACTTTCTGGGGTTTACTTCAGGAGCTGCCCCCACCCTGTAATAGTGACCATAAGGATTATATAGGATTATATTAGGGCCCTATTATATTCCTACTATACCAATATTCCTACTATACCACTATTACTGCAAGGGCCTTTGGGTACTGCAGGATATATCATCAACCGTATGGGCCCTAAACCCTAAACCCTAAACCCTAAACCCTAAAGCCTAAACCCTAAACCCTAAAGCCTAAAGCCTAAACCCTAAACCCTAAAGCCTAAACCCTAAACCCTAAAGCCTAAACCCTAAACCCTAAAGCCTAAAGCCTAAACCCTAAACCCGTATGGGCCCGAATTGGAAAAGGCAACCCGGGCACCTGCCCTCTACAGGGGACCCTTAACAACGCTGTTACAAGCCCCACTCAGCCAGGAAACAAAAGGCTGAGCTTTGAGGCTACTACTACTAACCTATAAGAGCCAAACAAAAGTTAAAAAAATGAGTATTGGAGAATGAAGGAATAGTCTCTCCACACCTATTACTCTCCGAGCCCTTTCACCCAAAAGCTACAAAGAGAAATTCTGAACCGGTGCGGGGCTGTTGGGTTCAGGTGTCAGAGCTGTGTTATGGAATAGAATAAGGTGTCGGGGTAGAATATGGAAACATAGTCTCATAATCAGAAGCCGTCAGAATTCGTGTGGAGAATTTTTCCGGGATGGCAGGTAAATCCTCGGGGCTCTCTCACTTCCATCCCCTTCCCAGCCCCGTGTGCAGCACAGCTTCTCGAACCAGTCATCATACTTGGCACAGGACTTGTGTGGTCAATTCAGAAACCGTCCTAAGTACGAGAAAAGATTAATTAACCCAAAATAACAAGCATCTAAATTTGAAGCAGGGCTGCGAGCTGGGAGTGTCGTCTTGTAGAGCTCGGGCTCGGGGCGGCGGTGTCGTTACAGGACCAGACCTTGGGGCTCGGGGCGGCGGTGTTGTAGGCGCAGGGCCTTCCAGTCCAATCGCAGTGTCAACGCCATTACGACCAGCTGGTGCAGTGTCCGTCTCAGTAACGATGCATGCAGCTGGTGCAGGGTTGGCCAGTCCAGCGTCTGCAGGGTTGGCCAGTCCAGCTGGCGCAGGGCCCAGCCGTCCAATCTCAGTAACGCCGAAAGCCTAAACCCGAGGGTGTGCAGGGTTTAGGATTCCCTCTGACTTCCTTTAAAGGGATCTATAAGGGCTCCCATAATCTCCTCAGCAGGGATCTATCAGGGTTCCTTTATGCCTACACCAAGCCAACCTGCAGGGAAGCTCTTCGGCTACAAAGGCATAGCGCAATCAGCAATTGAAGATTGAGATTGGGTTTTCACATGTAAAGTGTTGCACCGTAGACCCCAAACCCTAAATATTCGCTCTCTCCTGTCTCTAAAACTTGAATCTCTGGGTGTGTATTCGTCTAGGACTTAAAGCCCCCAAAGTCCTAAACCCTAAAAATCCAGCTCTCGAATTTCGTTTTGAATTTCACAGCCTTGAGCGCAAGCACAAGGATCTGCTGCTTCACCTGCGAAGCTTACTGTGAGAGCCTTAATGATTAGAATAGGTCGTTTAGTCCTTTTAAGGGGAGTAGGCTTTAATGATTAGATTCGTTTTGTTTTGTTGTCTTTGTTGCCTTGTTGTTTTGGAGGGGGCGCATTATATGCCATTATGCAATAATTGTGCCGGGACGATAAGGGCATATCATTCATACATATTCCGACCCTTATATTACATAAGGACATCCGAGTCTGCAATCAAGAACCCCGATCTAGTCCCAAAGATAAACATCCCTAAACGGAGCGCTAGTGAACACAAACCCACGTCGCTTGTGTGGACTCACTTGTGGAGCCGAGATGATTCAGGCGCTCGG